TGGGTTTCAACCTGGTCAAATGTTACTGCAGGAGTACGAAAACTGCTACAATCATCGACTAAATTTATTATCAATTGCTTACCCAGTATTGATTAATGATAATGTCCATCGACCTTTTGATATTTATCCAGTCATGTGACGTTTCAAACAAGATCGACAGCATGGTTTTCTTATTTCCAATGATGGAAGTTTTCCAAAGAGCATCGAATGAAAAGTCTTTTGGCTTAGACGTTGAAAAGGACAGTCTCAGAAAAAGACCTAAATACTAGCATCGCGGGTGTAATGATGAGAAGCTAGGACTGTTGGCCAGAGGCCCAATGGTTCAATTCTAGTAGACGGAAATGCTTTTATTTTTATTTTTTATTTTTTTTGTGATATCATTAAGAAGTAGTTCCACCATTAGTTAATAGCAGAGTTAAGTCGCGTAAATCTTACCTTTGAATCTTTTATCATTGTATTATTTTATTAGAAAAATATAGCTGACAAAGGTCATTGAGCGTCGCCCGGGAAATCTACTGCAAGGAAAGTTGTGTCACTATGACGTGCCAGAACATTTCTTTCTTCCCCGCCAGAGTCCATCATATACATTTAAAAATCAACCATTCCCCCGTGCTTTAAATAATAGTGCCATATCCGGTCTTGTGCTCTGGCTATTCATCTCGAGATTCTAGACAAAATCCATTCAGTCATTTTGTTATTGACGTGGCGTGGCTTCTCTCTGTCTTTTCTACAAATATTTTCATGGCAACTGCTCTACCGAGTTTATTTATTTTATATGAATTTAGTTTGCTACTAGATTGGCATCTAGGTCCCACCCTTTTACTGTAGAAATAGTTAAATGTAACCGCTATTTCTACTCCAACAGTTAAATTTAAATGCAACATCAATCGTCATCTTCTATCTTCTTGAATCCCGTTCATCATTTGTCCTTTCCTCAATCCTCCCTATACTCAGCCTTTTCTCTCACTTTCTCTCACTGTAATACTCTACATACTAGTGGCATTTCCGACTTACTTGGAGTGAAATGATTAAAAAAAATGAAAGAAAAGATGTCACTTTTAATTACTTTTCTAAATGTAATCATTTTTCTATTAAGCTTTTCGATGAAGCGTTTTCGTTAGCCACCCAAATGATTTAAAACAGTGTACTAATCTTCAAAGTTCTTATGAGAATATTTCGGCCGATAAGCTCTTCACTCTCCGACTTGCTAAATATTGCATTAAAGTGTGGAATTAAGCATTTTTTTGATTTGAATGATGAATGAAAAAAAAATGCCTCTAAAAATTTCTCCTAGAAAGAGAGAGTCAGAAACAAAGAAATGAGACAAAGAAATCGTGTATCTGTCGCGGGGGGGGGGGGTATGTACATAGATTCGATTTCAAAAAGGTTTTTATCGATAAAAGTTTTTTTCATTGATGGCGTGTTCAAAGTAAACATCACTAGTTACAAATATTTTATAATAAATTTCAACAAGTACAAGGCGCAAGAGTAACTCAATGTAGAGAGTTAGTGTGAAAATGGTTAAGATTAATCTGGTTTTAGTGAAAGATGGTAGGAATTGATTATAAGGATAAGCACAACAGGAACGGTTCACCTTATTTTAAAAATAACATTTTTAGTAATCCATTGGGGCACAATTTTTCTTTACAAAGACTTCTAAATCTAGGCCGGTTGAAATAATTGTTATTATTTCAAAAAAGAAAGATAGCAACTCAAACACTTGTACCCAATACAATAATATTTAAATAAAAAAAATAATATCGGATAAATATCCCTGAAAGAAAGAAAGAAACAAAAAAAGAAAGAAAGAAAGAAAGAAAAGAAAGAAAGAAAGAAAATATGGAGAATAAAAGAGAATTTTTTATTCAGTATTAATTCTTATTACTATAGACGTTATTTTAGTAAATGTGTTTAATTTGTTGTTTATAATAGATAGATAGACAGATAGATAGATAGATAGATAGATAGATAGATTCAAGTATAGTATGCGGAATAAATTCCAATAACCAACAAATACTATTCCTAAAAGAGTGCTCAATAAAGAGTAGAGCAAATATAATTATTTATTCGAAAATTATAACAGAAACATGTTATAAAAATCACTACAAAAATAGCCATTTTGTTTACCAACATTAAAGCATTAAATAATTATTATAACCTGTTGTCAAGTTCTTTGAATTCCCGTATACTTGTTTTATAATTGGTCATTCCAACTTATGTAACAGCGTTTCCCCTTGCGAGGGTTGTTTGATTGATTTGAACCTTTTAAAACCCTTTATTCTACATTCAACACCATAACTTGATAAGACACCAGAAGTGTTGAAACAAAATGGCTATTTTTGTAGTGATTTTATAACATATTTATGTCCCTAAAGTTTGAATACGTAGGCAAAAATGCATATTTTTAATAAATTAAATTCACAACAAAATTTTCTTGAACTGGAATAGTAACAACTAATATCTTTAATAGGATTTCCATCAATCGTGATGCAAAGCTTGATGCACTTTGCAAGATTCAAAATCTGATGCTCATGGGAAAGATTAAGGGAAAGAAGATCAATGGTTCAATATTGTCTTGTTTGGCATATTCTAATCTTAATCTACAATGAATTAGCGGCTTTGGATTATCATGCATCAAATTGCACACTGTAATAGAAATACCTTAAGCCAGATCTTGGTAAGGGTTCGATCAAAGTACTTAACCAAAACAACTCATCAAAGTTGTTCAAGTATACTGGAAATATTTATGATGATAATGACTATATATGATTTCATCTTGTGTTATTTTCAGATATATATACAGCGTCCGTAAAGTCTGGACACATAGGCACAAATGCATATTTTCAAGGAATTCAAATTTTGAAAAAAATTTATTGAATTGGAATATTAACAAATAACATCTTCAATATGATTTACATCATTTGTGATGCAAAGGTTGATGCACTTTGCAATATTCACATGAACTCGATGCAATAAGTCCACATTGCCGTCATTTTTAACACATTCAATTTTTATTCGTTCAATCAAATGTTTTCCATCTGTGATTTTTATTGAGTAGATTTCCTCCTTAAGCATGCCCCAGAAAAATTTCTTTCTTCTTACAACAAAGCCGTGTTTAATATGTGAAGGTAAAAAAAAATAATAGTTAATATGATCTCCTATGTGCTTTAGGGACACTGTCAGGTATTAAAAGTTTTCCTTCCGCTTGTGCTGTTAGGTGTCACGGGGAGACAAAGTTGTTTGTCAGCGGCAAGGTGAGTGGTCTGGAGGAGAGATATTTCGTGAGCCCTGAGAGTGTCTACCACTGAGTTGCTCCAGGTTCTTCTTGGTGTGCCTCTCTCTCTCTCTCTCTCTCTCTCTCTCTCTCTCTCAGCCAGAGTACCTGAGGGTGTATGCTCGTAGTGCTGGTTGGTTGATAGGCATACGAGTGAGGTGTCTGTCCTTCGATGTGTTGTATGATTGGTATTGCTCCTACCATATCTCTTGTTGCCTCATTCCTGATCTTCTCTCGGCTGATCTTGTTCACTGCTTTCCTCAGTCATTTCATCTCACAAGTGATCAGTTTTCTCTCAAGTGTTTTTGTTAGGGGTCATGTCTGGCACTGTCAGCATTGGTAGGAAAATGGCATTGATGAGATTTGCCTTGGTGCTCATGGAAATACTAGGATGATTTAGAAGAGGAGCAAATCTGGTCCCGATTTCTCTGTCTAGTTTACCATTTTCAGTAAATATTCTTCCCAGATATTTGAATTCGCTGGTTTGCTTTAGATGGGTCCCATTAATGTTAATGTCCAGTTTTTCTGGTCTCTTGCTGACGGTCATCCCCTTGGTCTTACTGACACTGATCTTCGTGTCATATTTCTCACAGCTTCAGCTGAGTTGGTCAGTGTGTTCCTGCAGGTGGATCCTGTCGTTGTTCATCATTGCCTGGTCATCGGCCAACATGAGTTATTAAATAATTACAAAGAATCATGTGCTTCTTTTCCATCTTCAAATACAACGGGAGTATCTTTGCTAACCAATATATAAATCATTCGTTTGTTGGTGTGTGCTCTACTGTTGTGACCTTATGCCAAACTGAACCAGATTGAGAATCAGATTGAGAAACTAAAGATAAATAAAACAAAATTTAGGAAGGGCTTAAACGCGAGAGAGACGTCTAAATGCAGGATTACTCTTTTGCGCCGTTTTACGTGGCGTCACTGCCGATCGATCAGTTGCCATTGACAACTAAGCATCCAATTAACAGTTTTTAGCTGTTGTGTGTCGTTTCGACAAGCAGATTGTATAAAGTTTAATAGCTTTTCAGTCCCGAATGAAAGGGAAAAGATCCCCCCACTACAATTTCCGTCATATTTTTCTTTTCTTTTATTTATGTCATTTTTATGTGCAAGGCAAATTCAGATTATATTTGAAAATGCTTTAGACCATATATATTAATTCGAAGCCATCTTCTCTATACAAGTTGAAGCGATCGTTGCCGGGACATAATAAAATCTATAATCTATAGTTCGAATTTCTGGTAGTCTATCTATCTATCTATCTATATATATATATATATATATATATATATATATATATATATATATATATATATATATATATATATATATATAGAGAGAGAGAGAGAGAGAGAGAGAGAGAAAGAAAGAGCTCACTCTCTCTCTATATATATATATAGAGAGAGATAGAATGATAGATATTACTCTATATATATAGAGAGAAAAGATAGATATCCTTATCTGTCTATCTCTCTCTCTATCTATCTATCTATATATATAGATAGATAGATTTTTTGAAAATCTATAACAAAGTGTAAACAAATTGTTGAAGATTTTCCTAAAAACTTTCTGACATATAAATGAAATACATATCGTTTTTCCTATATATATATATGTGTGTGTGTGTGTGTGTACGCGCGTGTGTGCGTGTGGGTATTACTTCAAACATTATTTTTAATAGATAGCAGCGTTTGAAATCGTCCAATATTTATTTTGAAACATGTGCATCTATCTATCTGTCTTACTGTTCATATCTATCTATCTATCTATCTATCTATCTATCTATCTCTGTCCATTCCTTATTTATCTTAGTTTGTTCATTATCTATCTATCTATCTATCTATCTATCTATCTATCTATCTATTCCTTTATATACTATAGGCCAATAGTCAAGGGACATCCTCCCTATTTAACAGTAAGTCTTCTTTTGTTCAATTACCTGATTCAGATGCTGAAACGATTTAGTCCATTGGTGTCTGCTGTCCAAGGGAGTGAGTTACCTAAAATTTGCCAGCTAGGATTACAATTTCCTAGCACTATAGATTAGACAAGAAGAACTATTTTAAGAAAACTCTAGCTGAAATGTATTATTATTATTATTATTATTATTATTATTATTATATTTCCTTTGTTTTTTGGTGTGTACTCATTTCTTTCCGGCTCCCGGCCAGAGAACTAAGGTCTGAAATGACATCAAGACATTTGCCATTGAGCAGTTTTGGGAAAACAATCGTATATATTCTACATTCTTCTTCCTAAGTTGTGGGCTATACTTGTAAGCTCAATTTTTTGTATTTCTTTAAGGCGTAGGCTACTAGGGATTCCATAAATGAGTCTATTCGAGTATTTTCCAATCAATCCGAGGGCTCCAACTACAACTGAATTTGGTAATGCCCTAATGTACCACAATTTTTTAGGTTTCGATTTCAAGGTCCTTGTATTTTTCTAGTTTTTTGAAGATCTTCAAAGATACATTGCAGTCGGCAGAAACTGCCATATTAATAAGGAGGAACATTTTCTCTTTGCAGTCTCTGATGACGATGTCAGGGCACATTATTATTATTATCATTATTATTATTATTATTATTATTATTATTATTTTTGTGTGTATGTTTGTTTCCTGATTTATATCCTGTAGAGCCGAGTCTAATCTAATGTCCTTAGACCCTATAGCTGAATTGTCATTTAATTCATAGCACTTTTCTTAGTATATGAGATGCTCCTAGTAGGACGAACTTCTGAGCAACTTGTATGTTGATGTTACCTGGAACACTGTTAGTAAATTTGTCCATTCCTTTTCTCACGAGGCCCAGTGCTCCGATTACTATTGGTACAGTCTCAGTCTTCATTCCGCACATCCTGTTAATCCTGATCCCCAGGTCCTTGCATTTGGACAATTTCTAGATAATTGTCATGGGGGTGTTTCTATCAGATGATATTACTATGTCAAGAAGCATACAGTTCTTGAATTCCTAGTTTTTTTATGATAATATCAGGTCTGTTGTCGGTTATTTCGCTGTCAGTTTGAATTGGCATATCTCAGAGGATAGTTATTTTGGGTAACTGTGTCTGGTTGGTGCTCATTCCATCTCTCAGTGGTTTCGATTTTGTGCTTCTTGCATATTTTCGGGTGCTCATATGTCGCAACCTTGTTATGTCTGCGAGTATATTCATTTTTTTGCAAGTTCTGGACATCCTGAGATAATATGGCCGGCGGTTTCATCATATTTTCCGCACAGACTGCATTTCGGTTTAGTTCCATCGTTGATTATGTGACAGCGATAAGATCTGGCTAAGAGGCTTTGGTTCTGAGCTGCAATAATTAGGCCTTTTGTCTCAGCTTACAGTCCGGTGCTCCTCAGCCACTGATGTATTTTTCTGTTGGTCCACATCTGTTGTTGTTGATTTTAAGTTTTTCCCATGCAACGCTTGTCCTCACAGTTTTTTAAAAATTTTATTTGACCAAGTTGTTTTGCTTTCTGTTTTACTCATTTGGCGTAGATGGTATTCGCATCGTTTTTTTGTTGGTAGGATTTAAGTTACATTATGTTGTTTCTTGAAGAGTACAGCTTCATTGCTGATGCAGTGTTTTTGGTGTTTTACTATTTATAAGAGAGGGTCATTGGTTTTTGTGGGGTATGTTTCCAAACCGATTGTTTTAGTTTTTAGAGTTATTTCAAGTTGGATTAGATCTAGATGGATATAAACCGTGCAGCAAGAGAAAGTACCTTGAGCCTGAAATGAAGATACAAGACGTTCAGGAAGAGAAAGTACCTTGAGTCTGAAATGAAGATACAAGACGTTCAGGAAGAGAAAGTACCTTGAGTCTGAAATGAATGCACAAGCCCTGCAAGAAGGGAGATTACCTCAAGCCTGAAATGAATGTACAAGACCTTCAGGAAGAGTAAGTGCCTCGAGTCTTAAATGATGTCGCAAATTAGTTTTTAAAAGTCTTACAACCTTCAGTTTTTAGGCGATTCGTTTTTAGGCGAAATTCATATCAGAAATCGTCACAGACAAAGTCTAAGTAACATGCATTATTTTGCCTTGTTTTTTTAGTCTTCACCTTCGTCTATTCGCTTCTGTAGGCTCAGGGAAAATACATAAAGCAGTATAGCGAAGAAAACGGCGAATTACCTCGTCAAAGCAAAAGAGAGCGGGCCGCATTTATTCTACGACGGGAAATGTGTTGAAAAAGAAAGTTACTTACAGAAAAAAAAAAGGCAAGCATTCTGTATGATAGTTATTAATTGCTTCAATTGAATCAATTGCGGCACAAGGCCAATGGGGAAGTGGGATCAACACTTTCTATTCTAGACCTAGCTAATCCGATTCACGACCCATGCATTCTTTACAATTTGCTCATTCGCAACAAAAATTTATCCGTTGTCTTCCAATACTACATATACCACAAATTTTTAGGGAAAAAAATGACATAAAAATTTGGATTAGCCCTCACCCTAGTAGGATACAAACACTTTTTTTTTTATTTCTGTCTAGGATATCAGGCTTTTTAACTTGTCTCGAATGACAATCTCCGACAAGGATAAGGTTTTCTTTTCTTCTTCACCCGTTCTATTTTCTGTCCACATGATTTTAGGTAGATTTTAAGATTTCCAGGAATGAGCAGACTTATTTAACCAATTGACTGATACTTTAAAGGAACTTTATTTTTTTAGCATCAACACCGTTATTAGTCCATCCAACAGGGACTACGTAACTGTATCAGCCACAATCCAGATTTCGTCTATTCTCTCGGCACATATATTTAAGGTTTCTAAGTGTGTTTGTTGTTTTTTTATACGGTATATCAACCTAAATGTGTTATTTAATGCCGACAAGATTTTTATTGCAGGTAATTTTTTTTTTCCAAAAATGCTTTGCTGGTAATATTTATTTCTTCAAAAATATACCGCTGGTAATAATGAGATTTTTGTAGTGGAAATTTATCAGGAACAAATGAAATGTATTTTCTTCTTGCTAATAATTGATATATACGAGATCTGTTTGAAAATTAATGGGACTAGGCATAGTGTATATGTACCAAAGACGGCTGAGCGTATTGTGTTATCATCTAACATGATATCTTGGGAGTATCTAACTCTAATTGTAGCTTTCTGCGACCATTACATTTCTATTCGCATGCTTTTATGACAGGACAAATCGTGGCTTCTTCCCCACACGACAATTCACCTGCTTACATTGCCCTGAGCATCCGGCAGTTCCTGGTAGAGAAAAACCTCGCCGTACTGGAACAACAACCCTGTTCAACTGATCTTGCTCCGTGTGACTTTTTTTTTCTTTTTCCCAAGGTCAAGGGGATCATCAAGGGAATCAGTTTTGAAGGGTGTGGAGGCCATCAAAGAGGGGCGTAATCATGGAACTGAACGGCATCCAAGAAGAAACCTTCCGGCAGTGCATAGAAGCGTGGCACAGAACAATGGAAAAGTTTATTAACTATGAAAAAGGAAAACCTATAGTTTGTTGTTTGGAATTGGAATAAATTGTTTCTGATATTAATCCCTTTACTTTTCAGATATACTTTCAGATATTTATAAAGTCGATAGTTTGCATGTTTATTTTTTAAAAAATTTGTTGCTTTTTTGTCGGATTTGACTCTTGTAAACATTGTGCTGTGTCGAAAGTACTCGGAAATAGAAGAAATATGTATCAACACGGCAACTTTATCTCGTCATTCAATAATAACACGAAATAGATTATCCGCGAATATGAAAGGGTCCTATTGAAAATAAGTAGACAGAACATGTCTAAATTATTCACCGAAACTTGTCTCAATATATATATATATATATATATATATGTGTGTGTGTGTGTGTGCGTGTGTGTGCGTGTGTGTGCGTGTGCGTGTGTGTGTGTGTGTGTGTGTGTGTGTGAGAGAGAGAGCAATCTGGAGGTGACCATAGATAAGTGTAGCTTATTTACATGCACACTTCCGCCAATCGCCCAACCAGCACAAATAAGCAGTTTCGAGGTCGTGATTCTAAATAACACTCCGCATTAGCTCTAAACAAAAGTCACTGAGAAGGACCAGTTACTTCTTCCTCCACTTAAATTATCGCCATAGTAACTTACATGAAGAACCTGCTAAATGTACAGCCCGCTACAGGAGTAGTGGCAATTGGTCTTAAGATCGTATTGAAGCGTTAAACCAAATATCATAATGCAATGTTGATTTCTTTATAAACACACTTTCTCTGTCTTTCTATTTCCCTCCCCATCTCTTTCTATCTCTCTCGATTTCTATCTATTTATCTATATTAGGTTGGTTATATATTTTTAAAATAAGAAGTGGAAGTTTCATTACGAGAAACACAATACCCGGGAGCCACTCGAGGTAGAGGGTTAGGATAAGGGGTAGTTTATATGAATAAGAGGGAAAGATAATGGTTGACTTTAAACTTGAACAGGTTGAGATTATAGTGAACGGGTAAACATCCTCTTCTTGGGAGGCTGTTCAATAAGGCAGTGGTTATCAGGAAGAAGCTGTTTGAGTGGAACTTACTTCTCGCCGATGGAATACGGGTGGTTTGATATTATGTAAGCGGCATAGCGGTTCCTACCCGTGAATGTCAGACCTGGTGGAAGCAGGAGTTGAAGTTCGAAGCGTGCACTTTCCATGGTAGTAGCGAAAGAACAGTGAGAAACCCGCTACGTCCCTCCCTGTGGGAGAGAGGTTAGAGTGTGAAAAATAATTCTTCTCCAAATACGGCGACAGTACCCCATTTTGGGCCTGATCTAGCTCTTATAAAGGTAGAGGACAACACGAGGAGTCAGGTACGCTGTAGGGAACTGATCATTTTACCTGTATCTTTAGCGATGGGGCATATAGAGGAATTACTCTAGAGGTCGGGTGTGATTTTGAGGCCCAATATCATCTCAAGCCACGAAGCCTCC